TATCCTACACTAATGTCAAATTGGACATTTCTAAAAGCTAATTATCATTCGCTATATGAGTAACTTGTCATTATTGAGTACTTGATTTTAACCTTTGCAACACTCATTTCTTGGCTTTCTAATCTCCTCAATATCACTTAAATCATACATTTCGAGGCTAACAATTTTTCTAGAATAATATAATGTGAGTATAGACTATAGACTATAGACGACTCTATATCATCTTTCGAACCAACATACCACACTAAAAGAGCTCTTTAACATGAGTACAGCAGTATACATGACCACGTCGCTGCATAAAAGTTTTTTGTGGTCAATTAAAATTAGGAATCTTGTACGGTAAGATGTATAAAATCAGCTAACTTGGAGCATAAAATTCTTGGAAATTAGCTTGTAGATAATCAGACTTACCCAATTATAGTATTGGTGTGCTTAGTGAGGATCACCAAGTGACATTAATCAAACAGTTACCATTTACCAAAGCTTGTACGGTCTTGTTTCGATAGCCATTTTTCACCGAAAAATGACATTGTTTTCCGTAAACACATTTCCCTATCACCTTTTTACCTTACATATATCAAATCATTACAGTAATTTTCTAATGAAAAATCCATGGAAAATGCAATTCAAACACAAGCATGCCAATATTTTACCAACAACAGATAAATGTCACTTTAGGCCTTTTTGATACCCAAGTCAACACTTAAATTTAATGGATTCAGATCTTAACATGCTCAGACACGTTTAATAATCAAAAATTGAATATTTAAATAAATTAAATGGCATTGAATTTTTTTAGGCAAAATTTGTTCCCAAAAATATGCAATAAACTATTCACCTATTATTTAATATGATATATACTCAAATGTATCAAATTTAATATTTAATAATTCAATAAGTTAATGGATTCAGGTTTCAAATTTCACACTTCAATTTTATCACATGCAACCTTAGATGAGAACTAGCCTCATGAAATGTATTGTATGTTGGCAAAATATGTCGATTCTTAGTCATCAAAAATTGATGATGTATTCATCAAACTTGTAGTGATGTACTTGAGATATGTACACTAGAGGTCAGAATTAGTATTCATGAACTTGTCCAAGTCTAGTGGCATCAGAGAACTAGTAACCAACGGCTAAGATGCTTATAGAACTATTGCATCCGTTTTCAAATTCTGAACTGTAGAGCATCTTCATGAGTTGGTAAGTGGTAACAGAGGAAATTGCCAATAGTCACAGGTAGAGACAGATTCCGAAGTTGCTCTGAAGGAGCATACAAATCTTGGTAGAAAATTGCAAGAACTTTGGACCACTTTTTTCTATTGGAATAAAGCACACCCTAGTACAGAATAATTATTGTGAAAGTCGGAAAGCTGGATTCAAGTCAAGTGACAAATTTGGTTCTTGAAAGACCGCAGAGGCATTGAGTATCTTTTGTTGGCAGACCAAATTAGGTTCATTTGTGTAAGGGCGCATTATTGGCCTTGGATTACCCTATTGGTACCAGTAGAACAAAGGAATAAAGAAAGAAAGAATCTGCACATTTCAACTTGTATTTTTTTTATGATAACGATAATATTTCTATAACATAATCTATTCTAATCTGGAGGAAGGAGAGTCTAAAAAGGTTATGTATAAGGGATTAGTAAGTACAAGAATCTGATTAGACTAAAGGAGTGCCCTATCACCTCTTTAGTTCCTCTTTGGTGGCCACTGAACCAAAACTCAGTGGTTCATTTCTACTTGTATTATATTTAAAAAATGTGCACAGTCCATTTAATGTATTATGCCTTCAATAGTGAGGTGAATTGGATTCTCAATGTAAATCCATCTATGTTAATGGATGCTAAATTAGATACACCTGCTTACCCCAAAAAAAAAAAAAAAAAAAAAAGGATACACCTAACATACGTATTATCAATGATTTTGAAATTAGACCAAACATGCTGCAATGATATCTTTAGTCATTTATTTAGTGTAATTCGCAACAAATTTAGAAACATATGATTCGTTATCTTGGATCTTTTTAGCATTCTATCTTTTTTGGGGTTTCAAACATATTTTTCTCCATCTAATTATTGATTTATTATTTAAATTTTTATATCAAATTCAAAAACATGTTCTTAAACTTTTTTTTTTTGGGAAATATTAAACTTCTCGGAATTCTTTATGCTATTTTTAGACTTTCAAGTCCAGACTTTGAAGTCCATTTTCAAAAAATCAATTTAAAATTATATGAAAATAAGAGCTGCAAACAACCCAAATCGGATCAAGATTTGGCTCAATTGAGCCAAACATGACTCAATTTTACCAAGTTTGAACTTGAGGTTAAACTCAATTTGAGACTAGTTGAACTCGAATTCAAAGCTAATCGAGGTCAAAAAAAATAAAAGAGTAATTATTATATTTGCAAAATGGATAAAATATATATAGTTCACCCTACTAGATAATAAAAATATTGAGGACATATATGTAATTTTACTTCATAATAAAAAATATTAAAAATATATAGATTTGAGCTACCTCAATATTTCGATTTAGGGTGTGCTTGATAAAATTAAAATTTGAAATTAAAATCCATTATGTCACTGAATTGTGAAGTATTAACATTCGACTGCATATCAAATTAAGTGATAAATGAATAATTTATCATTTATTTTTTGGAACAAGTTTTGCCTAACAAATTCAGTGCTATTTAATTAATTTAAATATTCTATTTTTTATTATCAAATGTATTTGAACATGTTAAGATCTGAATGCATTAAATTTAATTATTGAATTGGGTTATCAAATAGCGCAGTCTACTCGAACTTGATTAACATTGAGCTCATATCTAGCTTTGATTGTGCTCACGATCCAATTTAATTATTTTTTGTAGTCCTAAATGAAAACAAGATCAATTTGCTTTTGCAATAACCTTCTATCATGATATTCCTAATGAGAGAAGTTTAAAACAAGGATAGTTAGGATACAACGGAGAATATCAACACAGAGATAGGCTAGGTATGGAGAGGGAAGAACGGAGAGAATTTGGAAGCAAAGAAAACTGGAGGGGGAATTCATAAACTACCTGTTTAGTTAAGCACCGTTTGATAAACTAATTTAATATTTAAATTTAGTAGATTTAGATCTTGATAAGTTCATATGCGTTTGATAGTAAAAAATAGAACATCTAAATTAATTAATTAGCACAGAATTTTTAGGCAGAACTTGCTTTAAAAAATAAGTGATAAACTATTCACTTATTATTTAATGTAATATATACTTTGATGCATCAGATTTAACCCCTGTTTGATAACCAAATTCAGTAATTAAATTTAATGGGTTTAGATTTTATCATGTTCAAACGCGTTTGGTAATAAAAAAAATAGAGCATCTAAATTAATTAAGTGGCACTGAATTTCTTAGGTAAAACTTACTTTCAAAAATAATGTGATAAACTATTTACTATACACTCAAATGTTTATATTTGGAGATTGTTTGATAACTCAATTCAGCACTTAAATTTAATGGATCCAGATCATAACATACTCATACACGTTTGATAACCAAAAATAGAACATTTGAATTAATTAAATGGCATTGAATTTTCTATACAAAACTTATTCCAAAATATAATTGATAAACTATTCATTTATCACTTGATATGATGTACACTTAAGTGTAGATTTAGTACTTAACAATTCAGTAACTTGTTGGATTCATATTTCAGATTTCAGATTTTAACTTTCAAAGTTTAGTTTTATCAAACGCACCCTTAATACTTAGCAATTCAATAATTTAATGGATTCAAATTTTAGATTTTAGATTTTATATTTCAATTTTCAAACTTCAATTTTATCAAATGCATCCTCAGTACTTAACAATTCAGTAATTTAATGGATTTATATTTCAGATTTTAAATTTTAGATTCAGTTTTCAAATTTCAGTTTTATCAAATGCACCCTTAGTTTTACATAAATTTATCTTGATTTTCACTTTCTATAGAAAATAAATATGAAGTACATTAACTCTTTAATTTCCATAAAAAAACAACAACACTATAGTAAATAATCTTATATTTAAGTGAAAATTAACTCGGAGAGATAAGTCAGGTGGTTTGGGGGGAAAGAGTGATCTTGAATTCAATCCTTCCCATTTACACACACACACACACACATATATAGGTGAATATATAGAATAAATGCAACTGGTGAAGAAATACTTTGGCCCCTTTGGATGGTGAGTTCTTTTTTGTGTTTGTATAAAACTTTCTTCTAGTTTATTGTAGAAATTGTAGCAACGTTTTTTATGAAGCAGAGAGTTTTTTGTGAAGCAATTGAACATTTTTTAATTTTTCCTTTCTTTTCTTCTTCTTTTATCTCTTCTCTTTCCTCCTTACTTCTGCCACTGCTCCAGCCCCCGCTACTTCCGGCATTAGCCAACACCTCCATCGACGCCCTTTTTTCTTTCCCTATCCTTCTCCTCTCATCCTCCTTCCCTCTCTTCTTTCCCCTCCTTCTCCTCCTCCTCCTCGTCCCCCTCCCCTCTTTCTTCTCTCTCCCCTCATTTCCGTGTCACCCCTCTCGCTCCCCTTGTCCCTTTCTCTTGTCCCTTGATTTCATGACCAAAGTGGTCATCCAGTGTAGCTCATGCGACTAGGGGGGAGGGGATGGGGTGTGGGGAGAGGAGAGGGAGAAAAGTAAGAGGAAAAATGGACGGCAATGGCAAGTTGAGGTAGAGAGAGGAAAAATAGAAAGGGCAGAAGGAAAAATTTTTTTTTGTGTGTTTCTAGATATTTTGAAATTTGTATGTTAAAAACTTTGAGGAGTTTCCTATACATATATAACTAGGAGGATAACACCGCACGATGTGCGGTGTGATTTTCAATATTGCCCATAAATGCCCAATCATTTAAATTTAGATATTAAATATGAAAAGTTACATAAAAATGCATCACTATCTTTGTAGTTATGTTTTTGTAATTTTATTAAATAGTAAAAATAAGCTACAGTCTTAGCTTTTCATAGTTTTAGAAGTTTTTTTTCATAAAAGGAACTTTAAAATAATATACAATCATACAAAATGAAAATAAAATCCCCAAACAGTCATCTTGCAACTAAAAGATGGTGGGACATAACATCATAATAAAAGATATCTTGTTGTTAGCATCCTATACATTAGCTAAACAATCTACCATCTGATTTGCTTCACTGCTTACATGCTTTGATCAAGACTTGCTGCCAAAATACGATAAGACACCTACAATCAGATATAACCATAGCACATTGTAAATAGCAGTATCATATTGGTTTAAAAGATTAAAAATATTAATAGCATAAACTTCCAATTCCAGTTTGTAGCAATAATGATCTATGAAGATTGGAAGCTATTCCTGATCGTTTACTGATCCGATGGTCCAAAATCCATATTAATTCCTTACAACTACAGCAACTCCAAGATTGCTTTTTGAAACCCTACCAGTGATAAGTTTTCAAAAGCCATCCTTAGGACGAGTCTCTATAGAATCATAACTTCATATTTTTCCCTAGCCATGGTCTGTTTGGGTTCTGAGGAGTAATTAGAGGTATTCAAAAGAGGAGAGGATTGCGGTTTGCCAACATAGAAAGATTAGATTCGTTTTGATAATTCAATGAGGACCAGCCAGTGAAAGAAATCACAATGCCCCAAAGAACTTGAAAAATGGTGAAGGGTTTTTTGCTAGGTATGCTTTTTTTTTTCATTCATTCCTCACAGCTTAAATGATGATCAATACCAATCTCCCAAGACAAGCGTCCATGTAATAAAATCAGTAAACAGAATAACTTTTCAATTTAACTTGAGAGAAGAAAATGTACAACCGAAGCAAATCTCACGAGGAATAGAAAAAACCATTGTTTGGATATATAACTGAAGCTCATTTCTCAGCACATCTTTATCAATAATACAATCAAGATATGCCAAATTAGGTGAGAGAAACTATTAAGTGAGAGATGTTACAAATCTAAGAGAACATCATGTTTTGTAAATACATATTTAAATCAACTAAAACTGAATTTTCTAACAAGAATTTCTAAGCTACCAAACATCATAGTCTATGATTAAAGAGGCAAAACTACAGTTATGCAGTAAGTTAATTCTTTTTCCGGCAAATGAATAGAACATTTAAGGTGATAAAACAATAACTTACTATTTCAAGCAGGTGCTTAGAATCTAATATTTGAGAATCCTTGTGTTGGGCAAAACTTTAACCACCTACAAACAGGAAAACCATTTATAAGATCCAGTGAATCAGAAACAATTAATCAAAAAAAGATTGCTGAAAATACTTGGTTTAATATCCACTTAAGGCTCATAAAACAAATATTCAAAAGGTTTTAACAAAAGACAATTTTCTGTGCTAAAAAACAAAAAAATTGAACACAAAGCATTCAAAAGAGTAGCATCCCAAGATCTTTTGTAACTCAAAATTTTGGCCAATGACCAACTTGGCAGAGAAGTTCCTGATTCCTAGAGAAGAAATTCATTAGTTCTACAAGTGTTGGAAACCCAATGAAGGAAAAAGAAACAGAAGAACTGAAGCAAAAAGAAATACATTTTGAAGATGAAGAAATATATTTTAAACAAGTGTATCTTTTAGTTACCATAGGGAATGTTTTTTTTTGAGCAGATCAACAAAATACCTGCGTGAAAGACGCCAAAAAATGATTAAAAAGAAAATTTGAATGAGTTTGAAAAGAGCAAAGGCCATTGAAAATGACCAAAGAGAAAAGCATACCAGGTCTCAAAAGAGCAATTTAAAGGAAAAAATTAAATCAGAATGACACAACAAAACTTACGTTTTGTCTCACCAGTTGTTCTTCACAGGTGGCCATTTTTGCTTCCAACTCCAGAAGAAATCCAAGAAAGGCAAAAGCTTAGGTTGAGCTAAATAAACAAAAGGTCATTTTCTTTAGCAAATTATAGGCACATAAGTAGGTGAGATAATTTAAGAGAGTACTCAAGTTTTGAGACTTCAATCTTACCAGTCTCAAATGCAAGTAAGAATAACATAAATCATCTACAACTAGACAACACCATGGAAAAGAAAATTTCCTAAACAATCCAACTTGTAAAATTACTTAAGAGGTAATCTATAAGCTTAAGCAGCAGTCCATCGGAGGGGAAGAGCTTATATTGTCCTCTAGGCAATGCAATAAATGAAGGAAAATATAGGCTGCAAAACCATGTAAAACTCATAGTTGGCAAGGGTAGCCTCAGCACAAGTTAGGACACTACTGAGTCATGAGAAATTTTGTGATTACATCTTTAACAGACATTATTCATGAAGCAACAATATACATTGGCAAGTAGAACACAAAAAAGAAAATCCTTTCCCTTACAATGCTTGGTAATGAACAAAACGGAAAGACGATTACCAACTATCACTAAGAAGCTCTATTTTGTTTGGCTATGAGCTCAAAACTATCACTAAAAGATTATCGTTAAGCACCTGATGATCCAAATGTCCAAATAGTGGAAAATATACAGGAATACAAGATTTATTATTCAATCCTTTATCGCTATGTAATAGTTGTACCCTGAGCTGATTCGCCTATATAATGGAATAGAGAATCATAGAGGTTAAGCCAATACCTTAAAATTCAATCACCACAAAAAATTGCACAAGAAGGTAATACCTTAAGGACCACTACGAGCTAAAAGATTGCAACGACTATGGCAGTTTTTTTCCTTCATGATTAGTATATCAATCTAATAAAATTCCCCACAAATTAGAGACCAAAACAAAGTAAACATTGAATTTGCTAGATCCATAAACCTAATTACCACTTCCATACACAATATAGCAAGGTCAATGAAAATAACACCATTTAAACAAACAAAAATTTACACTAAAATTAACTATCCAAAATATCAACATTTCAATTTCTACCTAATGAAAACAACCTCTGATGAGATGTTTCTGCACATGTGAGAAGTGCCATTTTGTTAACATAGTTCTGCAATTGAGTTTCTTAATCTGAGAAGTCACCATGAAAGAAAAGAAAAGCTTGAGTTTAGTCAGATTTACCAATCCAATATCATCATTCCTGATGATGGAGTGCTTCATTATGCGCTTGCAGATATCAAAGTAGTCATAGCAGAATGAAATAGAGTAGCTCACATAAAGGCCAATCGGGACTTATGTACTGCACTTGGAATTGATTTTTCTATCTTCCAACCAAATAGTGTTTGCTTATTAGTGTATTTCAGGTAATATCTTGATGTATTGTTGTGGGTATTCCCTTTGATGCTGATCAATTGTTGTGGGTATTCCCTTTGATGCTGATCAATCGAAAGGAAGCTCATTAGAAAAAAAGGGATAATAAGTATAGATATGTTTATGACCCTGTGAGGTGAATCGTGCACCACTCCAAAGAAAACAAAAAAAAAAGGATAAAAACCATCCGTTGATTGTATATCTCAATTCCTCATCTTGTAACCAGGAAAAATGGATATGTAGAAACCAAAAAAAAGGGTTCCGAAGAAGAAAAAAATACAGTACTATATATAGTTTATAGACAGCACCAAACCAGTAACTTTGAGTGCGGAATTTCTAGGAGATCATGAGAGAGTGAAGCACAAAAATATAAAGAGAAAGTGGAGTTATACAGTACCCATACCACATGGCCAAATCTAGTTAATATTTTCTTTTCTTGACTGCAGCAAACTGAGAAAAATTCTCAAGGGAAAAATTTTTCAGAACATAACGTGAACTTTATAAATACCAGATCTCTGAGAAACAAAACAACAGACCTGGAAAAGTAAAATCATGCTGAAAGATAAAATTGACTCCAAATTTCCGACTGCTATCAGCCACGAATCGAAAAAATAATTAGCCAGTACTTCTAAAAAATAATTATTGGCTGATTATAATTAGCCAAGAGAAAACCACCAAAAAAAGGCCAAAATCCTAAACTTACAATTAGCAAGCACCGATTGTTTATGCTTGATCCCCCCCCACCAAAAAAAAACAAAAAAAGGGATTGAGACAGGCTAATGCATTTCAAACATTAGCAGTCATGCATTAGAAAAGCAACAAGTTAACCACAGTATGTGACATTAAATGTTGGCAAATTCATCTGCTAAATACATTTTCTCACGTCATCCTAAAATTTCTAATTCCCATCCTGCTTAGTAAAATAAAATAAAAATACTACAATAAAACATCACCAGAATGAGAAAAGCATCAATTGTGTGACTGCAAAATTATGTGCAAGTAGATGGAAAGTAATAAAAACTTTAAGAATTGTGTACTACCATCCATAAACCATTCACAATTTGAAGAAATGTAAGCTCATTTAAGTATCTTGTTCAAATCTACAAGAAATTTTAGCACCATCAACCTGCAAATTACATACAAACAAGCTCAAATTTGGATGGAATCAACCATAATTAATGCAAACTAAGTACTACACTTCATCACGAACCAAATTTAACAAAAAAATAATTACTACTATCACCTTTTTGGACGAAAACATTATGCATTATTATCATTTTCATATCCAAATAACTACCTTTACCAAGCATCCACCTCATTGTAATATAACTCCTTTCCCCTTTACTCAACCCCTATAGCATTATGTAACTCACTTTTTACATTATCATCAAGTAAATAAAAACAGATCATTAATTGAAGCCGTCCCGCTCAAGGAATAAACACTTGCATTACAGTTCCCTACCCATCCTAAACTTGGCATCAGACCACATCAATTTGTATAAATGATTATTCTAAGCAATTATTTCATGTGAACAGATACGGGCCATAAATGTACATACATAACAAAACAAAAAATCGCATTTTCCATGTAAAAATGTGAATATGGCATTTTTCCCAAGGACTAAATTTTCTCATACTCAACCTTACCATAACTTAATAGAAAACTCATTATTCTTGCCTAAAATCTAATAAAAAAACCTTTTGCAGGTAGTGTAGGTAGATGATCTAGTGTATTGCTGGCATAATAAAGCTCTAATAACTTGACAAAATTGTAAACCCACTAATAAGTATTCATTAGCTAAAATGAGTCTCATTTTGAAAATACTCCAGAATATTCATGTTTTTGCACGAATATACCTTGGCTCTGCATTTTTCAGTAATTATTGCAATAGCAAAATGAAAAGAAATGCTTGCAAAAGATCCCCTCATCTGATTTAAATAAATAAAAAAAAAGCAATCTGTTCCAATACAAATCTAGATTTGGTCACAATGAACGAGAACCAATCTGTCATGCCATCGACATAAAACATATACGATCCAAAATATTCAGTTCAAGAGAATTAACCAACTAATTAAAAACATTGCCTGCAATTCATCGATTTGTTATAATAAAAATAAAAAATTCACCATAATTGCATTCACAAAATAGTCACACCAAGGACAACCTCAAGAAAATATGTGATACCCTATATTAAAGAACATCATATGGTAGAATTTGTTGATTTACATACCAATTCAAGTTCAATGGTAAATTAGAACAGCCAAAATTGTTCAAAATACAAAGAAAATAACAACTTGGGATCCATTTATCTCTAATGGCAGCTTGCTCAACAAAATCCGCTAGCAAGGAGGCACCGGCCTTTTCGTTCACTGATATTGCAATGACAAATGCAAGAAAAATCAGAATGATTTAGTAATTTTTTCAAGACGGCACAAAAATGGAAAAACAAGACCCATAACTCAGTATCATAGAGTGCCAACAACCAACTATAAAATTCTTAAATTGGCATATACTCGTATCTAGAACCACAGGTACAAGAAAATTTAAATGCAAAATCATATCCTAACATGAATATGAATATTAACATGACAATGAAAACAACAACCACATCATAGTAGCTCTATTAGTTTTTTTTTTTTAAGAAGGTAATAATATGATCATTCCTTTCTTAAAACTTTGAATCCATTACCTTAATTAATCCAATCTCCTTAGTGTTGCTGCGGAAGCATTGTCTGCACCACATCAAGTCATACTTTCTGATAATACCATGGGAGTTTCCACACACAAGGCTGTCAAAACAAACCAACGTATAACCATAAGCAACAAGTCAAATCATCAAATAATTCAATCAAGTATTTAAAAAAGAAAAAGCACCAAACCACCAGGAGGAGAAAATATCCACGTGGTTAGGTACAATTCTTAAAATGCCATAGTGAATAATACCGTTATCACTACAAAATACTACTTACAACAGCTTACTAAACTCCCAAAATTCAGTCGAACCATCAACGACACAAGACTTTTTTAGCATGAAAATCACATTGACCCGTCATTAGGACCAATTTAACTTAAAAACAAGATTATATACCATATGATCTAGTATACAAGGCAGTACACCATGAACCTACAATTTCTTGAAATCCAATCAAGGACTCCAGCATCACTGATACAAACACCATATTATACTGGTAGACAAAACCACAATAAATGGGACTAAGAATGATAAAATAAAAAAAGATTCAAGAACCCCACATGATAAATATTCAGACAGAATTAGACAACTGAAAAAAGATGAAAAGCAAGTACTTTATTTCAGGAACATTGATCTGCTTTTTCTATTTTCTTCCTTAAACTGAGAAGGTTCAAGAAGCATGGGAAACAATGTTAAAGAATACACTTTTTTGAGAAAATAACCTTATAGAATCTACCTTCAAAAGGGATAAACAAAACTTACAAAACCGCATGAAGATGGTGGAGGAAATTTCCAGATTATGTACCTGCAACATCACAACATCATAAAAGGGAAAAAATTAGACAACTAATCTGGTAAATAATAGGACATAAAAAATACCAAAGGGCCAAATATCTGAGGAAAGGACACGAGGTGTCAGAAAAGACAGCAATCATGATACTTATGCAATAGCAATGAAATGGAGGCTACATTTCCAAAAGAGGGCAGTAAATGCAACAGCACAAGTATGATCAGTCTGGAACAAAATTTTCATTATATGCTAATTCAGAGCCAATTACAATGTCACAGAGTAACAGGCAATAGACATGAAACTTCCAATACAAGCCCTTACACATAAACTCCCAATTACAAGGCTAATTTGTAAGAAATTCCTGGGGAAGTGTCACCATAGCAAAAATAAAAGAAAGTTAACTGATTTAATCCAATTCTTTGGATTATAGGGATAACAGCACATTTTCTGTGTCCTAGTTGGTCCAAACAGAGACAAAAGAAATCTGGCAAAATTAAAACAGAGAGGACGAAGCTACAATCTTTGCAATTTCAAGGCCTATACATTTAAAATAACGTTAACGACTGCTGATGATGGTCTTTTTTCATTTAAATAGGTTTTGGGAACATTTTCAGTTCAAATATGTCTGAAATTTTCTATATTTCTGTCTAATTTCTTTCCATAACTTTCCACAGAAAAAAAGTGCATATAATAAGTAGAAAACACAAAACAACATTTCACCAAAAAAGAGAAATGCATTCTTATAGAATCCCATCAATAATACAAAGAATCCCATCAATAATTTCAATTTCATAACTCTCATTAAAAAGAAACAAACAAAATTCGAATCAGTGATCAAAACTTGAACTTCATAAACGTCCATGCACTAGTCTAATGTTGGCGAATTCTGGGACTTGTGCATAATATTTACTATAGTTTCTTGACCTAATATAAGTTTGCCAGTGTTAAGTGAAAAAGGCGAATAATCTGCAACTCTAACCATCAAATGCTACCACCACGAGATGGGCTAAAAATTCTTCCGAGTGCAGTTCAAGAACTCAGTAGAGGCGAACAGAGGGACTTACGTGAAAGGAACTGCTTAGAATCAGAGGGAGAAGAGGGACTTACAAGAGCAGCACTAATCGGCGGGGACAACACTGGCAAGTGGCACGAGATGTCAGAAATAATAGGAGAAAAAGAACTAAAAGACTAATAAACATAGTTCGGAGAAAATGAAGCAATAAGAGAATTTGAAGCAAAAAAATTCCAGCCAACTTTTCAATTTTGTTGTTGTCTATCAGAAAGAAATTGGAGAGAAAAAGTGCAGTTTTCTTCGCGATGATGAGGAAGAAGACGAGAAGAAAGAGAGCATGGGTCAGAGAGAGGGAGTCGGATGGCTAATGCTTCCTTTCATAAAAAATAATTGATGGCTAATTGATGGGTTAAATTAAAATAAAAAATAAACTTACAGACCCGATTAGGCTGAAAATCCATTCTCTTCTCTTCATCTGCTTATTCTTCTTCTCATCTTCTTCCTCTGATCAGGGAAAAAATTAAACAAAAAAAAACTCACAGAACCAGCTTAAATTTCACGAAAAAAATGTAAAAACAAAAGCATACATGTTCTGATGAAGATCCATTTTTCCCCTTTCTACTTCTTCTTTTCACGGCTTACGTTTTTCTTTGTCCCATTTCTCTTGCTGTAATATAAATCCAACAGATAGACATGATATCTGGGGAAAAAAAATTGAACTCAAACAGGTGGGCATTCGACGGTTGGACTGTTGTTGGCTTGTTCCAGTGGAAGAAAAGCAAAGAGGGGAAGAAGAGAGGAAGAAATGAAAAGAGGAAAGAGAAAGATGGAACCTTTCCTGGTCTCGAGCTCATCGGCCAAAAGAGAAATCGTGTGGCTCGGAAAAGGAAACAAAAATTGAATGACAAAGAATACAGACGGCAGCGGTGGTTTACCAAGGCACAGCTATCCCAAAAAGAAGATAAATGAACATGGCAACCAGGGCAAATGAGTAAGACATGACCCGTCACATTGAGCTCAGTAACTACTCCAATTTTTATCACAATTTATTAGTCCAATCGGTGTCACCAAAAGGCTGCAAATAGGTACGGTGGGAAGAGAAATGACCCAAATGTTTGAAGAAAAAGGACAGCTGTGAGAACCCGTAAAACCCTAATTATTTTCCTAGGGTTTATTACCCCTTAATTGCATATATTTTTGCATTTTCGGGTTTAGAAATATTTTCTGGTAGATTTTATGCGTAATTATAGTTTTAAGATGATTTTTCTAGTATTGGAGAGTTTTTAGAAAATTAAGAGTAAATAGTGGACGTGGGACCCACTAGTGCGAAAAGTTCGGAAAAATTCGGCCAACTAGATTAAGTTTTGGATACTGGAATTATTTTATCGGGTGTTAAGAGATAATTAGAGGAAGCTATTTGGATTGATGTGAGAGGGAACAAAGTGATAGACTTGCATTAAATTGGGTGACAAGTGTCACCATTTGATTGGGTTACCTTTAAGACTACTATTCCATGTCTTACCATTGACCAAATAAATCACAAAATTAACCAAAAATTGCACCATTTTCTCCTCTCAAGTGCCGGCCCTCTCTCTCAAAGGAAGAAAGAAAACCTCTTCAAGTTTTGGCTTCAATCTTGCTTCAATCATCAAAACCAACCATCCAACCTTGATTTTTCTCCATAAAACACCTTCAAGTAGTGGTGGTGAGTTGTTGTGTGAAGTTATTTGGAAGGTTAAGGTGACCCATAGCTCTTTCTCTCTTGTTTTAAAGGTAAGTTGTGAAGAACCACCCTCCTTCTTTAATTGATGCTCAAATCATGCTTAGTGGAAGTAGAAGATGCAAGTTTATGGATTAATTCTTGATTTGTGGTTGAATTGATGACTTTTTATTATTTTTGGGGAATTTTCTGTTTTAATTCAAGCATGATGGTGTGGCTCTCTATGATGTATGTAAATTATCTATAATGACTTAAGGAGGTGGGAAAAGTGATTAATTGCAACCAATTTCTGTTTTGGAAGAAAATTGGAAAATCTAGGGTTCTTAAGGGTACATTCTGTCCGAATTTTTAGGTACTAGATAGAGGCCGAATTGGCCTTAGCTCAAAACATGAAAGTTGTAGGGAATGACATTTTAAAGGTGCCTACAAAATTTCAGGTCATTTGGATTAGTGTAGAGTGAGATATGATGAAATTACTGTAGCTGTTCTGCTTTGATCAGAATGCGAAAACTGCGATAGTAATTGGCCATTTTGACTGGAATTGGTTTGGATTTTGGAGTTGGTGTCTTCTAATGAAATGTAGATGGATGTCTTAGCTAACTTATGCCTTTGGAATTTCGGCATTTGGACTTGTATGGACTGAGTTATAGTAATTACAGTTTTGTGTGATTTGAAAACCTTTTTTGGGAATTCTGGTATAGTATTTTGCATATTTGACCTAGTTGTGTTAGGATCTGGATTGAGTGACCTTCTACATTGTTGTAGCTCTGTTTATTGGCTTCGAAATGGTGGGTCTTACACCCCCATCCGATAATTGTAGTGAGAGTTGTACCATTACCGCAAAATGACGTCAAAACTGTATTTTTCCGGGCCAATGCTAGTTACATTTCCGAAATTTCTGGTTTCCTCTATTGTTTGTAAATGTTTATGGAACCTTATTGGGGTCATGTTTGGCCTTGGTTTATGACTCGTTATCGAGTTTCATTGTATTTGTTTGCATGTTTTTAGGGCGTGACGGTGGTGCACAACGTTCTTTTGACTAAAGTGTTTGAAACCACATTGTGCTAGCTTGGTGAGTGTACTACTCACTTATGTGCTATTACATGGCTTTGATCTTTGTACTTGAGATGTTGAATGTTGATTGATCCAAGTGAGAGTGTACTTTATCACTTTCACTTATTGTTTTGCATGTTATTGGAAAGTTATATGAAATGTTATATGAAATGTTATATGAAATGAAATACATGACTTCAAATATTATCCATGAGCTCAACCCCATTGGTTATTGATTGAATCGAGCCGGCGAGGGCTTGGTCGTGCCAATTAATGTGCCTTGGGGCAACATCATAGGGAATCTTGTAGTATGAGAGACTCTTGATTCCGGTTTACTCGAGTAATACCACAATGCAAGTGTTTGGATTTCGGGCCCGGTTGAGGAATGTTAGGAGGAAGGGAATGGAAGTTAAGAGGAGTCTATGGTCGGTTACCTTTCAGACATTGACGGAGAGTCAATGAGACCTGATCAAGAATTCAAACGAGGAAAAAGGGCTCTTGAGAGCCACCCGTATCCTTTTATCCTCATTATTAATGTGTGGCTTTATTTATTTTGGTAAATTGGACTGTTAAACTTGATGTATCCATGAACTTGGTTGCTTGAGTTGTATTCTCACTGGGCAATTAGCTCACCCCGTTCCTTTTGTTTTCCTTACAGGAATATGACTCTTTTGGAATGAATTTTGATAAATGGTTGACGAATGAACTAGATGAATGACTCTTTTGTATTGTATATAAAATGGGACCGTAAATGTATCATTAGGGCCGTTTTCACTTTTGTTTTGGCAAACCATATATGTAGTGACTTTTGTATCACTTTTAAATGTCATTTTTGGTTTGTAAAGGCTAAATGTTATGTGGTATATGTAATTCGATGTTTGGTTGGGTTCGGACGAGTCGGTTACTATTCATGGCCGACTCCGGATTTCATTTTCTTTTATTTTGGGTTATTTTGCCCTTTTGCCTTATTTGCGCGCGTTATAAGTTTCGGAACGTGAAAGATCGCTCTATACTGCACCGTTAGTCCTGGCGAGAGCTGGGCAGGCAGTCCGCTAACCTCTTTGGTTCGCCTTAGGGGAAAGTGGGGCTGTCACAGGTGGTATCAGAGCCACTTCGCGTGGTCTCTGCGCGGAGTGAGCCTAGGGCCAAGTGGTGTTATGGTCCTGATTTCATGGAGATGTCTAAGTGCTCGTTTGAGCGTAAGTTATGAATGGGGCATGTTATAAGTGTAAAAATCTTTATTATGCAACTTGAGGAAGATAGATATGTATGTCGGGTAGGAATCTATAATATGGATGATTTACGCTTGGGACCGGCCGGCTCGAGTTGTGAATTATCTTAAATGGGATTCTTGCGCCCGGATACGAAAGAGACGAGAGTCTAGGTTAGAAAGAATGGGGCGAACTAGAAATTGCGATTCTATGGATGACTTTATATGTACTTGACTGACTGTTCTATATACATGTTGATACTGTTATGTGTTCTCTGTATATGTGTTATGTGTTTAAATGCTCGACGAGGGAGTGGAGTAGTTATTTGTTCTTGTTTACTTGTTCCTGTTTCGGGCTGGGAAAAGGAGGGGTTAGGTGCCCATTGCCCATTAACAGTATATTTATTTTGTGACCTAGATCGACTTAGATTGTATGGACGGCACACGTAGTGGACGGGGCCGTGGGCGCGGGAATAGGCAACCTACGCCAGATCAGGGTACTGGAGAAACCTCCTCTGGACCCCATCCTGAACCGAGAGTTGACCCTAATGTACAGATAGCTGCCGCTATGCAGCAAATGACAAACCTGTTGGCACAAGTGGTGCAGCAACAAGGCCAGAATCCAAACCCTAATCCTGGACACCCTGGAAACCCTGGCAATCATGTTGAGAGCGAAGACAGAGCTCTGGAACGATTTCAAAAGTTTGCCCCACCCAAGTTCATCGGGGGACCTGATCCGGATGTTGCTGAGAGGTGGCTCGAAAAGATGGTCGATATTTTTGCCGCCCTGCACTATACCGAAGAACGGCAGGTGACTTTTGCCGTTTTCCAGCTAGAAGAGGCGGCCCGCTCTTGGTGGAATGTCATTCGGCAAAAATGGGAGAGGGAACAAACGCCCAGGACTTGGGTAAATTTTATGAGGGAGTTTAACGCAAAATTCTTCCCTCCTCTGGTTCAGGAAAGGAAGGAAGATGAGTTCATCCGACTCCGCCAAGGAGCTCAATCGGTGGCGGAATACGAGAGCCAGTTCACCCGCCTATCCAAATTTGCGCCTGAGTTGATTGTGACGGAGCAACGGCGAATTAGGCGTTTTATCCAGGGCCTAAACGTGGAGATTCAGAAGGACCTCGCAGTGGCTCAAATCAATGCTTTTAGCGAGGTCGTTGAGAAGGCCCAACGGGTAGAGAGTGCCAGATTGCAAGTAAGAAATTTCCAGGCGAAAAAGCGAGGATTTCCTGGAAATAATTCGGGGCAGGGGAATGAGAGTACCCCTTCCAAGTTTGGGCGAGGAATTGGGGAAGAAAGGGTACCGGGAGTGTCACGAGAGAGCCCGTCACGAGGCAGCCAGTTGGGGAGAGGCCAGAGAGGAGGCTCGGCTTCTGCAGCACGCGGATCTTGCGGGTATTGCGGAAAGTCGAATCATTCTGAAGACAATTGCTGGAAGAAAGGAGGCAAATGTCTGCGTTGTGGAAGCGCAGACCACAAGCTTGCTACCTGCCTACTTATGACGCAAGAAGGAAGGGGAGCTCAAACTATGTTAAAGACCAACACGGGACCGGATAAGGGGAATGGGACGAAACCTAAGGTAGCAGCTCGAGTGTATTCACTGGAGCCACAACAGGTCCCCGATTCTCCTGATATTGA